TTTTTTTTTTTGCAAAAATCACTTGGCAGATTTGATGAAAAAGAAAATGTGTCCAACTGCATCCAGTTGAAAACCTCAGTTATTAAGGGTATTAAGAATCAATTGATAGAGCAATTTCCAGGTATTGAACCATGGCTTAATCAAATCATGCCTAAGAAAGATCCTGTCAAAATAGTCCGATGGTAAGTCTTTGTTTTTCTCTGTGTAAAGCTTAGATAAGCTGAATATTAAATGATTAGATTTGCACTCATTCAAAATGGAATTATTTCCATTTTAGCTATTGATAGATAAATGATGGGAATACATACAAAATAACTCTACTTAAAAATATTTGTATTTTCAATACCCATGCAAAATGATGCTTTGTGTATTGATTGTTTTATTAAAGAGTTAAATGTTTCATTCAGAGTTGGGTTTAATTTATTTCAGTTTGTTCTTTAGACATTTGTTTTATCAAATTGTTTAATGATGGAATTTAAATAATAAAATGTGAAATGAAATTGGTTGTAGCAGGTGATATTTTTCTCTACTGGACTAGTATGATAGGAAAAACAATAAGCAATGTTTTTTTTGACCATGACCTTTACTATAAGAAAAAGTTTACTGTATTTTTGTATATGCATATTTCATGCTATAAATTTTAAAGGATGTTTGACTTACATTAATTTTTGAAAGGAAACGTCTAACTTGGCACTTTGTGACATTTGTCTTACAGCCATGAACATATAGAAATCCTTACAGTAAATGGAGAATTACTGTTTTTTAGACAAAGAGAAGGGCCTTTTTATCCAACCCTAAGGTTACTTCACAAATGTAAGTCTTAGTAGAAATATGTATTTGGGGATATAGAAAGACACAAAAAGAGATGAAAATGATTTCTGATAGTTAACTTATTACTGATAGTTAATTTATTATTTGTTAGTAATAGGTAATAAGAAATATAAAATTAAAGTGAATGCTTATCTTGTGGTAAAGCCTGAAAAATACAAATCCTCTCATTATGCATCCTAGAAAGTCCAGGAAAAACATTCATTTATTCAAGAAATATTTATTGCACTTACTGTGTGCCAGGCATTGAGCCGGGTACTGAGAATGCAATTGGAAATAATGACAGATATGGTCCCTGTCCTTTTGAAGCTAGGTAATTGTATAAGTAATGTATTCATAAACTGATAAGATCCATGAACAATTACATATTTTAAATTTGTATCTAGTTTTGCCTAATAGATATAATTCTATATATGGGAAATCATTGGCTTCACGTAGGAGTCCTGTTTATTACTAGTTGAGTGCCATGGTCAGATGTTATGAAACAAAAGAATTTTATTTCATAACCATATTTGCAGGTTGTTAGATAGAGTATATTATAAGAAAAAAAATCCAAGGAAGATAAAATTCCAGTGAGGAAGAAATTTTGAAATGGGAGTTAAAATTTCTGCTTTTCAGTCTGGTATTCTAGCCAAGAGGCAGAAGGAAAGGTGGTGACTGAATGAATTTGGCTTTTTTGGTAAGGGGAGTCTTTAAAGAGGTGAAATATCTTAATATTTATAAGGAAATAATTAAAATTATTTGATTATTTTATCAGGTTAAAAAAACTGATGGAGAGAAATTGAATCTTGATGCAATGAGGAAAAAGTCTTGAGCAAAAATATTGTGACATTAAGACATTTTGATGATGTTAATTCCTGTTCAACTAATAGAACACAGGGACAAAATAATCAAATGTATTTCATGATCCTCTGTTTGACCCTGAAACCCCTCCCTCTCCCCTGGAAAAAAAAAGATAGAAAAGACTTCCTTAGGACTATTGGGAAAATTTAGATATGATTTGGCTATAAAATAATGCAGTAAGCTTATTGTTAAATTTTTAGGTGTGCTGGTAGTTTTGTGCCTATGCAGAGGATGGCGTTTTTCTTAGAGGAGAGGTTTGCTTATTTATGGCGAAACATTGTTTGAACTTACTTTCAAATGATAGAAGAAAATGCCTATAAATGAAATAGATAAAGCAAATATAATGAAGCAATTATTGAATCTAAGTGCAGAGTGTCCAGTGGTTAGACTTTTTGTTAGTTGAGCATTATAATAAGATATTTCAAGGAAAAGGTTGCTCCTATCTAAATAATGTTTTGGGGGGTGAGAGGGGGCAAGGGACAGAGGGGAGAGATGGCCCAAACAATGTATGCACATATGAATAAATGAATAAATAAAACAATAAATAATGTTTTGGGGATCCATCTTGAAGAACACTTCAGTTACTCTATGCAAAAAGCAGGATAATATTGTGGTTTAAAACATGAATTTGGGTTTAGGCATACCTAGGTTCAATTCCCAGTACATGTTACTTTTTCTTTTTTTTTTTTTTTGTGGTACCGGGGCTTGAACTCAAGGCTTACACCTTGAACCACTCCACCAGCCCTTTTTGTAGTAAGTATTTTTGAGATAGGGTCTTGTGAACTTTTTGCCCGGGTTGGCTTTGAACTGCAGTCCTCCTGAATCTCTGCCTCCTGAGTAGCTAGGATTACAGGCATGAGCCACTGGTGCCCAGCTACATGTTACTTTTGACAAGTCACTTAACCTCTTTAACCATTGCATATCTTTAAAAATGAAAACTGTAATTCCATGTCTACCAGGAGTTATAAGGAATAAACAAGATAATGTATGTATTGTTCTTAACCCAATGCCTGGAACATGGTGTTTAATATGCGATAGTCTTTATAATGATACAGTAATAATTCAATAAATGTTCACTGCTACTTATGATCCTCAGCATCATCATTAAGGGCAGATATTAAAGAGGATGAAGAGACGGAAAACAAATTAAGGCTTGTGAATAGTAAATGCATTCATTCATTCAGGTTCCTTTTTATTGTTAAGATGTTTAGGGCTGGTGAAGTGGCTTAAGTGATAGAGCGCTTGTCTAGCAAGTGTAAGGCCCTGAGTTCAAACCCCAGCACTGCCCCCCCCCAAAAAAAAGATGTTTACATTAATTTGGGGCTATGTTTAAATTAATTTGTGGTCTCAGTAGGAAAAAGACTTACCTGTTCTTCAGTTAGGGAGAGGAATAGTAGTAAAGCATTATCATGAATGAATTTTACCTATTTTTTTTTTGTGGTACTGGGGTTTGAACTCAGGAGCTATACCTTGAACCACTCTATTAGCCCTTTTTTTGTTATGAGTCTTTTGAGATAGGGTCTCGAGAACTATTTGCCAGGGCTGGCTTCAAACTGCAATCCTCCTGATCTCTGCCTCATGAGTAGCTAGGATTATAGGCATGAACCATTGGCGACTGGCAAATTTTACCTATTATTATTTCTAGAGAGTCCTGAGGAACTTAAAGAGTTTTATCCCCAGTGATTGTGTGAAATCTTCAGGGATCCTGTAATTATTAGATTATGATATATTAGTAGACACACATCCATGCCTTTTTAAAGATTATAAAAGGAGTACATGCACATAGATTTGGAAAAGAGTAGGTAACTAATTAATAATCACTTGTATTCCCATGATCTAGAGTTAGCTATTATTAGTTTACTGGTGTACTTACATCTAGCATATCTAATTATTTCCTCTGATGTGTGTAAATGAATTTTTGTTTGATTGTTTTTTGGCTCTAGGGATTGAACCCAGGGCCTTGAGCTCTACCAGTGAGTTTTCTGTATTATTAACATCTTGCATTGATACAATACACTTGTTACAATTGATGAACCAATACAGATGCATTATTATTAATGAAAGTTCCTGTTGTACAGTTCTGCCAGTTTTACCAAACATATAATGTCAAGTATCCATTGTTACAGTATCAAACAGAACAATTTTACTGCCTGGAACATCCCCTGTGGTCTACCTATGCATCCCTTCCTTCTCCTTCCACACTGAACCCCTAGTGTTTTTGATAGTTTTTTTCCCTAATTTTCATTTAACATTATATCATGAATATTTCCTAGGGTCTTAAGTATTCTCCAAAACCATGATTTTATTAAAGGTGACTTGCATGACTTTTTTTTATAGACATTACTAAAATCATTTATCTCTCTTCATTTGTTGGACATTGAAGTCAATCCTAGTTTATTTCTATTATAGATGTTAGTACTGCAATGATTATCTTTTGTCTAATATACTATACATCCCTCATTTTTCCTTAGGGTGAAGTCCTAGAAGGAGAATTACTGAGTCAGAGTATAAACCGTTTCAAGGCTCTTGATGCTCATTGCCAAGTAGTCTTAAAGAAAGTTTAAACCCATGTACAATTCTGGTAGTATATGCAAATGCCAGTGGTCCTACTCTCTTGTCAGCACTGGGATTTACTTTTCCTAAAAATAGTTAACAATTTGATCTGTGAAGGATAGTATCTTAGTTAATTTGCATCTGTCAGAGAGTATTGTAAATTTGGAAAATATTTGTTTGTACCCTTTGCCTTTTTCTGTTGAATTCAGTTTTATATAATTTATTAATTTATTATAATTTATTTAATTTATATAATTTATTAATTTATATAATTTATTTTTTCTCTTTTAGATCCTTTTATTCTGCCACATCAGCAGGTTGATAAAGGAGCCATCAAATTTGTACTCAGTGGAGCAAATATCATGTGTCCAGGCTTAACTTCTCCTGGAGCTAAGCTTTACCCTGCTGCAGTAGATACCATTGTTGTATCCTTCCCAGGCTCTAACTGCTGAAAAATGTATTCATTGTATTCTTGTCATTATTGAAAGGTCTATCATCCAAGAGAACAATAGATTAGTTGTACTCTTTTCAGGTTACTGTTACTGCTGTCTCATTCCTTTCTGGTTACATTTGAAGTAACAGAAAGTATCTTTTTTTTTCTTGTGGTACTGGGGCTTAACTCAGGGCCTACATCTTGAGCCTCTCCACTAGCCCTGTTTTTGTGAAGGGTTTTTTCTAGATAGGTGTCACGGAACTATTTGCCTGGGCTGGCCTTGAACCACGATCCTCCTGATTTCTCCTCCTGAGTAGCTAGGATTATAGGCATGAGCCACCGGTGCCCGGCTCTTTTTTATTTCTTGATACTAAATTGTTTCATCTTAACTTCTTTATAGAAGTTACATGAAAACAAGTTATAAAAGAGTCCCAGTGTATCACAGCCTAGTTAGGACCTATTGTTATCAGACTTAGGAGGTGATCTTAACTCTGATTACTAATGAAAATGATATAGGTTATGTGATTGGACTAGGTTTTTGGACATTAGCATGCCACTTTAATATTTAATTTGACTCATGCACATACAATGGAGTAAAGCCACTCAAAAGGGAAAATAATTCAGGCAGTAGATAGTTTCTCTTCTTCCAACCAAAACTTTTGTATTAGGAGGGAGAAATATCAGTTCCCAACTTTGCTCTGTTTTTTTGAGACATTTTAGCCCAGGTTGTCCTAAAACTTGTGGTCCTCCTGCCTCAGCCTCCCAAATGGTGGGATTACAGTATGTGCTGTCATGCTGGACCCAATCCCCAGCTTTTATTTTTATTTTATTTTATTTATATTATTTTTTGACAGTACTGGACTTTGAACTCAAGGCCTTAGGCTTACTAGGCAGGTGCTCTACCACTTGAGCCATGCCCTAGCCTGCCTATAATCCTAGCTACTTGGGAGGCTGAGATTGGTTTGAGGCCAACCTGGGCAAATAGTTCATGAGACCCCATTTCCAAAAAAAAAACCATAGCAAAATGGACTGGAGGTGTGGTTCAAGTTGTACATAGAGTGCCTGCTTTGCCAGTGCCTGCTTTGCAAGGGCAAAGGCCCCAAGTCCAAACCCCAGTCCCACCAAACCAAAATAACTAACTAAATAAAAATAAATAAAAAAGAATACATTCAGTTCATAATATAGCAAAATAATTCCACATTATTTCCATTTATAGTACTTTTTTTTAAGCTGTCTTATGGATTAAATAGGTTTTTGTCAACTAGTATGGGCAAGAGGCCATCTTCTGCTTTGCTATAGCCCAAGTAGCCATCTGCCTTAGGTTGTGAAAAGATGTAGTACTTGGTAGGAATAAGGAAAACACTATGGAATAAGAACACTATTGGAATGGGTTTAAGAGTATATCCTATGCTCAAAAGGAGGCTACCTTCTGTGGTGGAAGTTATAGCTAAGGGGTAGAATAAACTTTGTTTATGTATTAGGCAAATATGTGTTCTCATAGATACTGGTCACTTAATAGGTGCTCAAATATTTGTGGAACATTGAATGAATGAATCAAAAAGCCAATGGAGAAAAAGTGTCCTAGGAGGACAAGTTACCATTTTATGCTTAAGTGTTGATAGATTTTTAGTTCTGGACTTTCCCTTAAATAGAAGATTTTCCTAGTACCTAAAATTTATTTTTTTGAGACAGGGTTTTGTTATGTTACCTAGGCTGGTCTCAGACTCGGGGACTCATGTGATTCTCCTGCCTCAGTCTCCTGAGTAAGCTGGACTATAGGTGTACACCACCACACCCAGCTACTTTTTTTATTACTTGTATTTTGAAAAAATTATAGATTTACAGGAAATTGCAAAAAAAAAAAAAGTACAGAGAAGTCTTGTGTACCTTTGAACCTTTAAAAAATATGTACTGCAGTAGTTAGCATTCCAGAAATTTCAGATGATAACCAAGACTATTCTGTTTTTACATGAGGCTCTTCAAAATAATGGGAATACAACTATTATTATTATTATTAATGTTTTGATTTTGAGACAGGGTCTCACTCTGTAGCTGAGGCTGCCCTTGAATTTGCTGACCTCAAACTCATGATGCTCCTGCCTCAGTCTCCTGAGTGCTAGGATTATAAGAGTGTGCCACCACATCCAGCTGAGAATACATTTTAATATGTCTTTTACTTAAAGCCACCATTCAGTTATCAAAACAAATAGAACATTGGACTGGAGGTGTGGCTCAAGTGATAGGGTGCCTGGCTTTCAAGCATGTGTAAGCCCTGAGTTCAAATCCCAGTACCACCAAAAATAGAAAAAAAAAAATCCAACTAGAACAATTGATATATTTTATAGGTTTTAGTATTCATGTGCCATAAATTTATCTCCTTTTTTGCATGGCTTATTCTGGTTTCATTCAAATAGGGTTATAGTGTTAACATTTGAGTTGACACCAAAATGGTAAGATTGGTTCATTTAGCATTTATTGAATTATTATAGTGTATCCACAGACTACTAGGTCACTGCATTTAAGGAATCAATGATCTAGGAGAGAACATTAGAGGGGTTCATCACGGCAAAGTAATGATTACTTGACATCCTTCCCTTTCCCCAAGCTATTTTGAGAGTTTTCTTAGCTGTGTGTTTTCAGGCAATCATGGCAGAAGGAAAACAGCATGCTTTATGTGTTGGAGTGATGAAGATGTCTGCAGAAGACATGTAAGTCTCATTTTAGGCTCCGTTAACTTTTGATATACAGGTAAATGACCCGGGAAGCTTCAGAATTACAGGTGGAGTTTATTCTCATTCATACCACATCTTACAAATACCTAAGCACAGAACCCTCATTTTTTATTTTTCCTCACACTTAGAAAGTCATTGAAACCTATTTTGTCTTTAGGATTACATTCTGTCTTAAGCACTCTGAAAAGAACCTAGGTGCCAACTCAGCTGTTTTATATATATATGTGGTACTTAAAGAATTTTTATCTAGTACCATTGAATTTAAGGGGAAAATAGGTGTTTTGCTGCTAGTTTTTAAAATAGTGACATAGTTCAGCATTATACAGTATTTGTCTTATATTCTGATAAGTTGGTATAAATGTAAAATATTAGAAAACTACTAAATATGTATTGCCAAAATATATGCAATATATTAAAAAATTTTGGAATCCATTTGTCCAAAATACATTTTTTTTTGTTTTTTTGCTGTACTGGAGATTAACCACTAAGCTACATCCTCATCCCCCAAAATACTATTAACTTTGTTTTGGGATTAATGGTTTTTTTGTTGATAATGGGGCTTGAACCTCAGGGCTTTGTACTTGCTAGGCAGGTACTCTATCATTTGATCCATACTTCCAGGCCAAATTTTGTCTTGAAGTTAATGTCATACTTTGATATTTGCCTAATGTGGTAATATCATTACTCTGCTCATGTAGACCTACTACTTAGATTGCTAAAATCACTTTAAAACATTACCACAGGGGATGTGGTTCAGTAGTACAGTACTTGCCTAGCATGTATGAGGTTTGATCCCTAGCACTGCAAAAACAAACAAACAAACAAAAACAGAAAACAAACTACAGCAAACTAATGCACTTTAATATCAACAATAATATAAGTACAAGTGCACCTAAGTGTGGCTTTATAATTATAAAACAGAAAGGTACTTTGAGTTATGTTTATTGTGCATGAATCTATAAAAATGCATAAAATATGTTTGTGTTTTTCCTTTCTACAGTGAGAAAGTCAACAAAGGAATTGGCATTGAAAATATCCATTATTTAAATGATGGGCTGTGGCATATGAAGACATATAAATGAGCCTCAGAAAGAATGCACTTGGGCTAAATATGGATATTGTGCTATATCTGTGTTTGTGTCTGTATGTGACAGCATGAAGACAATGCCTCTGTGGTTATGCTGAATAAATTCTACAGATACTAAAGTTCTGTTCAGAAATTATTTTAATTCTTAAATTCAAGTTAAAATTGGGTAGCAAACTTGAACATTAAAAGGTATCTGGTAAGTAACAAAACAGATAACTTAATGTCCTTTCTTAGGCTAATGATATAAGATTACTTGGTAAATAAGCTTGCCAGGTTATGGTAGACCCCTAGACAATTTGTCTACTTAACTGAATTGGAAGCCTGACTGGGAATTTTATTCCATTGTCCCAGGGCACCCAGCAATGCCCCTTTTATGTTTATATGTTTTTGTTTGTTGTTTAAAAAATCTTTTTTATTATGGGAAGTTCCAACCATATTCAAAAGTATGGGTAAATTGTATAATGAATCTTCCTTTATCTAGATGCCAGCTTCAATTAATGGCCAATCATTTTTCATCTATGCCTCACACAATTATTTTGGACTTTCTGTTTTTTCATGTATGACTACTTTAATATGTATCTTTAAAAGATAAGTAGTCATTTTTAAAAAAATATAACCATAATACCAGGATAACACCTAAAAAGTTATTTCCTAATATGATCAATTATCTAGACTGCAGTCAAATTCCTTCAGTTGTTTCTTTTAAGGTTTTAGGGCTGGGAATATGGCTCAAGTAGTAGAGCACTTGCCTAACAAGCTAGCAGTCCTGAGTTCAAGGCCCAGTACTGCAAAAAAAAATGTTTTATTAATTGTTGGTTGGCTTGAATTAGGCACCACAAGAGCTTTATGTTACATTTGGTTAATATTTGTTCTTAATTTATAAATTTATCTTTTTATCTTTTTAATTATTTAAGAAATCTAGTTTTGTTGCCTTATGAAGTTTCTATACACATTCTGGATTTTGTTGATTATATCACTGTGAAGTTATTTAACTTGTTTTTATGCCCCACATATATCCTGTGAACAGATAAGCTTGATCAGATTAAGGTTTAATATTTTTTTAGTGCCTTCTTGAGTGAAATTCTAGCAAAAGATGCTCAAATTTCCAGATTTAGGTCCCCAAAGAATGTGTATCTCCTATTGTGAAGGCCATGGACCTACTTTAGTAAGAATAGTAATCTCTTTTGGAGTTAAAAGATAGTTATGAATTTATTTAGTGATAAAGGACTTTTTTTTCTATAACCTTGCTATTATTCTAATGTGTCACCTATCTCATTTGGTTATTTACAAATATTTGACATGTGATTTTATTTTTCAGATGGATACAGACATTTACAAGATTGTGGTGACCTGTGTTACAGTTAGAAGTTGGTGAGAAAGGTGAGGGTGGACAGTAAAAAGAGAGAGATCATGTGGCTGGCCGTTACAGCTTGGCCTCCCAGTATATAACATAGGTGCATGTAGATCCAGGGTCTAACCCTCAGATTGAAAACAGTTTCCTGCTGATAAAACAAACATGTAAGATGTGGAATTTCCCAGTTAGAGTATAAATGTATTGCTGGGCGTTGGTAGCTCATGCCTGTAATTCTAGTTACTCAGGAGGCAGAGATCAGGAGGATCATGCTTCAAAGCCAGCCTGGGCAAATAGTTTGAAAGACTCTCTTGAAAATACCCAGTACACAAAAAAAGGGCTGGAGGAGTGGCTTAAAGGTAGAGTGACTGCCTAGCAAGCTCAAGGCCCTAGTTCAAACTCTGGTACCACCAAAACAAACAAAAAAGAATATAAATGTATTAATTTATAACAATAGGTCTATCTAAGACAATTAGTAAATAGGAAGATTCTTGATAAACATGAATAAGAGCAAAGAAAGTTTGATAACTTGAGATAATATTTCATTAGGACTGGGGTAAGTCTTTGAGTATTTTTCCTGCTTTGTCATGTATTAGAAGGCTTATCTCTGCCAAAATCTTGTCTCTCTACTAGGCTGTAGAGATGCCCTGATATTTTTACTTCCTATATCCTTTTGAAGTTCTATGTATAATATTTTTCTTTTGTTTTGCAGTTATTTCTACAACTTACCATATTGTTTTGTTACTTACTCCTGGAAGATAAAACTATTAAGTAATCTCATCAGTAATAATTTAGAAATCATCTTTTAGAAGAGCTTTCTTCAATAGACAGTCTCATTTTATGATGACTTATTGGTTTCAAATTCAGATGTCTCTCCATTTGGGGGAAGAGATACCCTATTTGAGGATTATAGCACCTTATACTCTTAAAAATAATATGTGTCTCATTTATGTCAAAAGTAAACTTGGAACTCCATGCTAATATGTTGTTAACTGACCAAGATTGCTAAATGGTGTGTTACCAATGAAAAACACAGCACACAAAAACACACATAAGAGAAGTTAAACTTTTAATTGCCTGGTTTCTAGAATAATGTATACTTATATCTAACCACTGTTACAGTGGGTATAGAGAACACATTTTAAATATTCAACATCAATATCTTCTGCATGTTTTTCTATGTTGTGGTACACTGACTATGTTGTCTTGGTGATGTAGAAATGCGCATGTTCTCTGCTTTCCCTGGGTCTGAGGTCTTAGCTCATCAGTTTTAATCAGAGGTATCACTCTATCTGTGCAAATCTTTTCAGTTTCTAGACATTAGGCCATGAATTAGCAGATATATCAACTTCTTTAGGCACTATGCTTGGAATAAACTTTAATTTACTCATATTCCTCAGAGTAGGAATGTGGGAGAATCTGTTTTCTCTCAGACAATGTGTCTATAGTGTATAATAAGCTTCAAAATTAATTTTGTGTCAAACCAACCTACAATCTAGCAATTCCTATGTATTTGGCTCACTTTCACTCAGCCAAAGTCAGTTTAGTGCAATAGGTATTTCTTACCTACTAGGTTATAGGTAATATGACACGAAGATGAATAATACATAAGTAGCTTCTGCCTTTAAGAAGTTTCCAGTCTAGTAAGTATAGAAAATCCACATTAAAAACATTTGGGTAGCTGGGCACTGGTGGCTGATGCCTGCAATCCTAACTACTTGGGAAGCTGAGATCAGGAGGATCATGGTTCGAGGCCAGCCTGGGCAAATAATTCATAAGACCCCCATCTCCAAAAATGGACTGGAGGCTTGGCTCAAGCAGTAGAGTGCCTGCTTTGCAAGTGTCAAGCCTGGAGTTCAAGCCCCAATCCCATCCAAAAAAAAAAATTGGATAATGGTGACAGGCCAATACTAATTACAAAGTTATAGGAATTTGCAAATGTTTTTCTAAATTTGTAAATTATATATGAAATGTAAAAATATTCCTTAGATTGTATCCAATATGAGGTTTTGGAGTTGCAACAATTCAGCATTCAAACTTAAGATGGTTGTCCCAATGTCCAGTGACATAAGGCTTGACCAGTCCTCTTCTAGCAGACCGTTACAGTGGTTTGATGATATTCTGTTGGCAACTGCAGTTTTCCTTTGTCTCTTTCTCTCTCTTCTCTCTTATATTCCAAACCCCAAACAAAAACAGCTGGATTTATCCCAGGGGTAATCATGAACATTTCCAATTTGAGAGATTTGATATTCCTGAAACAGAAGGTCATGTGGCAAATAATGATTATATCCAGCCAAGTTCCTCCTTGTATGCAAATCAGCAACTGAGGATACAGTATTTATAAGTATACTTCAGAAGAAGATATAAGAATAACAATTCATTAAATTTGTAGATGTATTTCATTAAAACGAACACTTTTTTGTTTGTGATAATATAAATGAAGCAATTATATATTAAGGGAAATATGAAGTGAGTTGTATGTCCAACAAAATGTGGTAAATATTTTAACTTTGTTTATCTAGGTTCCTTAATTTTGAGAATATATCTTTCCAGGCTCCTTAAGAAACTCAAAATGATTCCAATTTCTAAAGGAGTATCCACTAGAACTGATTGGTAATGAAAGAGAAACAATGAAAATGTATGCATCCTATGTCAATATAACCATCACTTCTGAGTTCTTAAGCAATCAGAAACTTACTATAAGAATAGGTCATTAAAATATTTTGGAAGCCCTGTAGAACACGTATGTTTAATATGTTATTAATCATATTAAGGCAGCAAAAATTAGACTAAATATAATTGTACTCTTTAATAGCACCGTCTTTTTGCAGCTGTTCCTAAAGAAGCCATACCTGTTCACATGGAGATGCATGTAAATGTATTATACTTTTTAAATACTCTGTATGTACTTTATACTTTGTATACTTTTTATTATATTTTTATGACAGGCAGAATAGTGAGTAGATATTTCCAACTATAATATCTATTTTTTTCGTATTGTCTTAAAACCAATTAGGTACTAGTAAAAGATTACAATACCATTAAATCAAAAGTGAATGAACAAAATTGAGGGCCAATTTTTAAAATCAGTGTTAAGATTATGAGGTAGGCTTGTTCATTTGTTTAAGAGACTAACCTTTTAGATAATGTAATTTATGCATGGACAGAAATAAGGGAGATAAACCATTGGCATTTATTCTAGTAATGTTTATTACAACCATGTCATTAATCCCAGAGGATTGTGAATTCAAGGACAGCCTACATAGTGAAACTCTGTCTCCAGAATTGAAAAAAAAAAAGACAAAAAACAGGTCATATGGGAGAGGGGATTAAATACATTCAAATTCACTAGTACAATTAATATTTGCCTCTTAGAGTGAAAATAAAAGAACTCCAAAATTGTTCTTGCATACTTTGAAGAAATAGAAAATGAATTACTAAAATAATTTATGCTTAAAATCCTAGTTGTTAGCTAGGTGCCAGTGGCTCAAGCCTGTAATTCTAGCTACTTGGTTGAAGGAGATTTGGAGGATTGAGGTTCAAGGCCAGCCCAGGCAAATAGTTCATTAGATCCCATTTCCAAAATAACAGAGCAAAAATGGACTGGAGGCATGACTCAAGCAGTAGAGCCCCTGCTTTGCAAGCATGAAGCCCTGAGTTCAAACTCCAGTCCCATTAAAAAAATCCTACTTGTTACAGAGAATGACATACCTCACTATTAATGTTTAATTCTAATTAAGTAGATTGATGTAGCAGTTATTCAGTTTG